TGATTATGCTACGTAATAATGATTGACCGTTTTTTCTTCGCGAAAGGAAATTTTGATAATTTGTTTAATGACAAGACAGTAATGTTCTGGAGAATCGTATAGTGACTATTCAACAAACAGATGAAAATACGGCATACACAGTGAATTCTCCGTTAATCAAGAAATCGCTAAATCGAGTTTCAAATATATAAGAGCAAACCGTGTGGATTGGCCATGAAAGTTCTCCGTACCGTAAGATGGGCGGTAAAGCGACGTTAAAGTGGAATTCGAGTTCGCATGGCCTTTTTGTCAGAATTTTTGTTGTTAGATCGAAAGAAATTCGTTCGTTTCACAACCCTTCGCTGTAGATCGATATGGTGGTGCATGCAACATAGAGTCTCGAAAATGCAATTTTTATTCCCAAAAAAAAAAAAAAAAAGTTTCTCGTTCTTTCACTAATACAGTCAAACCTCGATATAGTAAAGTCGACGGGACGGGGATTTTTCTTTACTATCAAAAATTTTCAATATAGTAAAGTTCATTATAAGTGGCATAAATCTTTACTATGTCGCAACCGGCAAATATTATAGTAGTATAATAATAAATAACTCATACTGTTCGATTATGTAGTAACCTCTTGATTCGGTTAAGGTTTCATAATTTATTAAAGCCATTCAAAAAGGAAACAAAAAGACGACAAGAAAGACGTAATACTGACTAAATGGCTGCACTTATTATTTGGTTCGATGCTCAGTAAATTGTTGAATGTCGCTTTATAATAGCCTTATTAATCTTACCTTATCACGCACAATATTTGAAACGGTTGCCTCGGAAATATCGAATTGCTTTGCTATTGCAACTTGGCTAACACCACGCTCTTTTAAACAACATATTTCAGCTTTCTGGACATCGGACCAACTTCTTCTCTCTGAATTGCCTTTTTTTTTTCTTTGTAGCGTCTCTGTTTCAGCTTCATGCTGTTAAAATTCATAATAATAATCAGGATATTATCCGAAGTGTTACACGCATATCCGAATTGTTACACGGGGATAATATTTCCTTTTTGAGGGTAGGACAATCCGACGTGTAGTAATAAAGTCTTTTACTCACGAATTAAATAGTATTCTCAATCATCGGAAGCAAGTTGCACACTTATAATCATCGAAAGTTATGTGTTGATACATCTAGGCACTAAGGCTCCAATTTTGTGGTTATAGCATACACTAATACTAACATCGTTTACGCACCTCATATGATTGTAATATTTATGTTATTTAGATAATGTATTGAATACTACAACAGATGGAAATAAAGGTCCTGACTTCATATATATTTTTTCCTTTTCCTTTTCAATATTCTGATCTATTGTTACGGTCGGGAAATAAAATGGGGTTTTGGGAGAGCGATTTATCTTTCGTGTAGGTGTATTCGCCGACCGGGGGATGTTACCAGGCTTAGATCGTACTATCGCCCTTACTCCGATAGTTGTGCAATTAAGACTGAATTAAGCCTCAAGTGGCCTATTTTTAATTATACGCGCTTCTCGCTCCCTATCCGAGTTTCAAACACTCGTGAATACAAATAAGGGTACCTCTAATAAAATAATAACAACAGAACACCTCTACATTAATTAACGTTTGCCAAGCAAATGCGCTAATCTTTGCTAAATTTTTTATTTATTGAAAATACAAATATGTCATCACGAGCGGAAACAAAAAAACGTCACCCATATCGAATTCTTTCGCTTGATTTCACCTACGCACAAATCCCGCGCATTTGAAAACTATAATGTGATTCTCGATCAGGCCATTAAATGTTGCGAGGATCCGGTTAAGCAGTTGAAACTAAAAAAAGTAAAAGAAACAGCTGATGTACGTAATCAAATTTTCTATTCTACGAGAAATTTATTATTTCTAACATACACACTCCTTTCATTGAATAGTGTAACGTAGACTGGAGTGTGTGGTTGTTGGGGAGAAGAACGGTACGCTCAATCAAAAACTTCTCAAAGTACACGGTTAACTATAACAGAATACAAGAAACTTGCTCGGCGTTGTTGTGATGCTGATCCTGATAAGCGTCCAGATGCACGCACAATTCGGAATGATATTGGCAATCTTATTAAAGAGGTCTGCATTGAGTACGCAACCTGCAATCACAAACCCAGGGAATCTTACTGAATTGTATAATGCAATTATTCCGACTGAAGAACAAATCAAAGAATGCTCATCAAGAAAGCTTCCAAGTAATCTCTCAAAGAATACTATTGGGAAATAGAAAGATTTATGATTTATTGGGTGTAATAAAAAGCTGAAGGGACTATTACTGATGGTTTTCGAGACCAATCCGCGCGGGATTCCTTTGTTGAACACGTTCTAGTATAATTTGCCATACTACCGAATCCAACTGAATAAAACAATAAAAATACTTTTATTTATAATATGCCAAAAGTCTCCGAACGATCTTTGGCACAATATTAAACTTAATACTTAAGCTTAAAATTTTTTTAACTTTTTATTTAAACAGGGTCTGATCTATATTTCATACTAAGTGACTAGTACTTGATCGGACCTTCATTTGCATCGATCACGGCTTGAATTCGTCGTGGCATACTATCAACCAAACTTTCGATAGTATGTATAGGGATGTCTTGCTAGCACATCGGTCAAGTTCAGCAATATTGGAAGGGTGTTTTTTCCTTTCACGAATCTTTTCTTGACTATGGCCCATAGATTCTCAATCGGATTGAGATCCGATAACTGTCACCACGTTGACGGTTAATTCTTTGGACGTTTTAGAGAATTAAGCGAAAACTCTACCTAACACGCTGTTTTTATTATTATGCTTGATTCACGTAAACAGGATCGCCATTAAGTCACGTGATGTAACGAGACTTTTGGCGACCATCTAAAATTATACAAATTATACATAAAACATCAATATTAACTTTTTTGCATTTCTCTGACCTTGGGTCAGAGAAAGTCACGTACAGTAACTTTGTCTGAGATCGGCTCGCCCTTGTGCCCAGCATCGCCTTAATATACCCCAAGTCAGTTTTCAACTGGTCAAATCGCTAGATTGAGTGAGACGTTTAAAATTAGGATTGTGTACTTATATTAGTGTTATTCCCTCCCTGACTTCTTCTCCGATTAACCAAGTTAGTCCAACCGCCCCCAATCCGACAGTAATTAACGTGCCAACGCTTGTATTGTCGCTACTAGTTCCATTTCCTTTATTTGATTAATAATATGTAGTAAAAATTAGTACATTAACTATTAATAAATTTATTCATAATCACACTACTTTGGTATAGCATATTTTCGTGGAGCGTATCTTGGTATAGCGTGTCTTGGTGTAAATAGAGCCTTTGGTGTAAATATTTGTTTCTTCGTCTCACCAATTGTGTGACGTGTGTATAATTTGACAACTTCCTTTTGAGATTTGAATTGACTTTTACAATGCCTGATTATGATGTTGTTGCCAACTTTGCAATTTTTGCAGCATGTTCATGTGTTTCAATCCATTCAAATGATATTGTAATTGTGCCAAATGTGGCTTCATAGAATTTGAAAAGAGAAGCCGATATTGTATATGGTAAATTTTCATTCACTGACATTCCTTTTGACATTGATGGTTGCAATCTACAGGATGATAGCTTTTAAGATAAATAATTTTAGTGACACTTTCTTGGCACTGTAATTGAAAAAGAGGTTCTAACAGAGAACTCAAATAGCTTATCGTTGTCATCTTCAGCAATGAGGCTCCGAATTGCTGCCTCAAAATTTTGCCCAGTGCTTTCCTGTAAATGTTTTCAGCTGACTTGGACATTTCATGATGGCTGGTGTCCATGAATATGGATTCCTATACAGAAATTGTCTGCTGAGCCAACTCTGGCCCCACAAGAAGCTTTAACTGTTGAAACATGTCAAATGTACATATTAATATGTTACGGCAAGCTGATGGTGAGTCACATGATAAAATCTTCCTCCGCCCCATGATCGACACTAATTTTAGTTCAGTTTCACGCAACACACGCTACATTAGGAAACAAAAATGTTGCATTTATTTCACAGTCATTTCACGTGACACATTGTTTATCGCACTTATCATTGGTTTTCGATGTTATGGAGACGATTATTATTATTGTTTATACCGTCTAATACTAACCGCATATTCAGCTTGCTTGGGATTAAGTCCTTTTTTATAAAGAACTTAGTTCCACTCTGGTATTATATTTGCACTTTTCAAAATTTCGAAAACACAATTGGCCAATCAGAATTCATAGATTTATGTTAAATTTGAGAGTTGTAATTGTAAAATACGAATAACATCCTTCGCGCTTTCATCAAGGAATATGAGTTGCTCGGGTGAATATGATTCTCCAATTTTAGTGATAAAAGAATGACGAAGCAATTCATTCCTTTCCATAGCGGATTTATGTAACTACAAGAAAGTTTTATTAGTGAGATTTTCTATTTCTTACTTAGTTGTAACAAACCTTTTTCCGAGTGATGCCATATCATCACGATCAAGAATCTTTCTACGTCCATGCATCTCCTTGAAGGGATTCCCCAACATTCAAACTGTGGCCCCGACTAACATACAATTAACGGCAAATCCGTTTACGAAAAAAGCCATCAGAATGAAGATAAATCCTTCAACGTAAATCTTCACTAATATCCTTGACCATGTTGTGCCCCAATATTGCTATACAACAGCTAAATGACAACAACTTTCGTTAGCGTTCGCCTAGTAACGCCCAACAATTGTCAGTAATCGTCCCAGTAATCGCCAGTAAATCGAAAACCTATTCTCTATAAGAGCTAACACTGCTTGTACTTACCAAAAGAGTAACCGAAACTGTACCTAACACTAGAACTGCTTGTACTTACCAAAAGAGTAACCGAAACTGTACAGGAAGCTGTAAAGCGTTGAGTGCCAGCGAATAATCGCACAGTCAGGTGACTGTGTGTGTACAAAATTTTGATAATTAAAATTAGACGCGTAGCTTATCGATCACCATGTCTGAACATTATCCTGGCCACGAAGGTAAGTTCCTTCTGTACAAACCGTAGTTTTCTGTACTACATGATCTGAATGTCTTTCACGGTTTCTAAATCTTTCCCAGCTCTTGTCTCTTACCTAGAGAAGCACACCGACTGGTCATACCGAGAGTTTCTAACACTTCACCATGATGTTATTGTGGCTTCACCCCCGTTTTCAGATGATTGGTATGGCCTTGATGGCGCTTGGTTTCATCGATTTTTGAGGAAAGTAAAAGAGCTCGACCCATGTAATTTTGAAGATTTGAAGGAGAAGGAAGGTGTACTATTTCTTTATTTATTTAGTTAACGAAGGGGGCTCCTAGTCTGTTGACATTCAGACTAGAAGTATCAGTTGACATTCTGGCCCAAGTAATGGTGGTAGCGCTCTGAGTCTGTTGACATTCAGACTCAGGAGTATCAGTTGACATTCTGGGCTCCCATCATTGCGATAATAACTTTTTTGAAATTGTTGAGACTTAGTGCCAACCAAAATTACTTACCATCCTATTGTTCTGTTACAGGTAGAATCTGAACGTCAAAACAAAGCCTTGCTGAATTATTGGGAAGAGATAATCCATGAGCGGAAGAAGGTGAGCACGGTCTTGCATGATATGTATTTAATTTTATAGGATGTACTAATCTGATCATCATGTAAATTAGCTGGCAGTAAAACGCACTCACGTTAATGGAAGCCTTGATATATTGAATGAAGCGGGAAGATATAACAAAGAGGCGATAATATTAGAAGGTCTTTCAAACCCATTCCTCAAAAGGGGAAATGTTGCACTCACCACTCTTACTACGAAGGTGGGTCAAATTAGCACTACATAAATCTTGAAATAGATATTGGATTTGATATCTTTACCCTTATACTCTATTTCAGTTCATGAAACATGCTAACAAGATTCAAATGGAGGAGGTTAGGTCAGGTTCTGCTGAACTATAAAACATGTTTCTTTCAACTAAATCACCTTACTCTAGGAGGAAGATGTAGAAGTTGACGATGCAGAAGAAACAGAGAATAATCACAATATCGATGCCGAGGAAGCAAACATAAGCGTTTCTGGGATTACAGGGGAACGTCTAACAGATGCATCGATGAAGGAGTACACGCAACAGTACGAAGACATGGACGACAAATATAAGTGGAAACTGGAGTCTGGGCGGAGAGTGGAAGATGTTTTGTACGAATTTGGCTGCTCACGTCAATTTGAGCAGTAAGTTACAGTTTCGCAAATTTGGTTGACTGCATGAGTGTGCATGTAATTGACTTCTTGTAATAGTTTAGCTCATTCGTTTACGATCGACTTGGATGACCGTCAGATGAAGTCACTCTTCAAAGATGAAGAGTGGAAAGAGATTCTAGAAACGAACGTAAAGGATGACCCGACGCTTGATGACGATTTGGAACGTTGTATAAATGCATTCGCTAAGGTGCTGTCCGCAACTTGAAGAACACATATCGTTCAAGAAACTCATTTTGCTGTTTTCATAGACAAATCTTGCCGACATTCGTGAAGCGATGTCACAGTTTACGACATGTCGGGGTGCCAAATATAGTGTGCAGCAAGACTTTGCGGTTGACGCAATAGTTTATGCTGTTCACAGTCTGTAAGTAGCGCGGAGAATATGCAGCTGATTAAGTGACGGCATGGCTAAATTCAGTATTGTCTATCTGACAGGGTCCTGTTATACGAAAGACAGCCAAACGCACTCGGAGTTGAACACCACGAACAGTGGTACAATGTCAATCTGTGGGGACCAGTCATCGACAAAGCATTTGGGGACATCAACGGAATAGACATCGTCAGGTAGTAGCTTGTCAGTGCCATTGCTACCATACATCTGTATTAATATATGCTGTTATCAATACAGAGGAGAATCTTGTAGCTTCGCAAGCAGCGAAAGGAAGAACCGAAAACGCAAGCGCACTCACAGGAAGTCACTTGGACGACGTGGGGACGCAATTATAAGAAAGAATAGTGGCGGGCAAGTGTTGGAATTCGGAGGGTCCGAAGCAGGAAGGTGGTACACTGGCAAGGGAGGATCCAAGTGGCTTGTTGAGACTGGTTTGAAGCTTCCCAAGACGCTTCGGGATATGTTTGCTGGGCTCTGCAGTCGCGTAAAATGGCGCGCACACATAATTCAAAAGCTTGAAACGATCGGGTATATTCATGGAGGTATGTAAAAGAAACTTTCTCCATTCTCTGTCACTTCCGTCCTTAAATATTTTGCCACCATTGTATAGGACGCGTTTTAATGTTAATGGCATTGGACAATCCATCCGGATATGTTATGCGTCTTACGAAGAGCGACGTGTTTGAGATTCCGGAGGACGTGGCGTCCTTTGCTTTGGCTTTAGAGTTAATTGCTGCCGTCTGGATGTCTAAGGTTCAGGTTTTTCCTAGAGATGTTAAAGATCTACTTTTGGTTCATGTCTCAGCTTTCCAAAAAACTTTGAGAAAGCACTGCTGAAATTACTGAAGATCTATTAACATCCCTAACATTCCCAATATTTTTTGTAAACGAGTTTGGACTAATTCTATATATGTATTTTTAGATGAGAGTACAACGAACGATGAATTTAGTACAAGAAATCCCGCTCGACTTGAAAAGGGTCGGAATGACGAACCGTAAAACTGCTGTGCACCAGCTTCCTGCAAGCCTTACGACACCTGAGAAGAAAAAACGCTAGTATCATGCGATAACTACACCTGGACTCATTGTCCGCCATTTTGTGAATCAGTGGGTTTGCGATTTAATAAGTCTTTTCGCTTGCGGGCATCTTTTATTGTAAGTGTATTCGTTTCCGGCACAAAAATCCCTCCCATAGTAAGGTATTAGTATTGATTCCACTCTAACTTCAAACCAGCAGATTCGGTCAGCTCAAAAATATGAGTGGCAGATAGGATGTATGCTATAGTTATCAACAGAAATAGCGAGAAAAATACTTGTTTAATCTCCATGGTTATCCCACTGGATCTAACCGCAAATGGATCATCTACTGGTTTAGTGAAATTTGAACACTATAATAATAAACTCTTGATCCTGTAAATGCTTGTCAACTATTTTAGATACCTTTTTTAATTTTGATGAACAATTCTACAGATATCTTCGCAAGATCCACTACCTCTGAATAATGCCAAAGATGTGATATTCTCTCGAATATTTCTGTGTTGTGTATAATGGGACTAGAATTTGAATGCCGCCCACTTACAAAATATTGAACAATTTGATCCTTTTTTCGTTCCATACAAAGGTCCTCGAACACAACCACTGTAGTCCGCCCTGGACGGAATTTTGTTATGTCGGGGATTGTATCCAAACTCGTGTAAAGCCCAAAAGCTTGATAAGTGCGAAATGTTTGTGTATCACATCGACGAATACAAGAATAGAGAGGTTATCAGATCAGAACCAGAATCATGACAATACAGCACGCGCTTTTGTATGCTGTTTTGCAAAAACCGGGTAATTAGATAATTGGATAAATTGGTCAAAATCGATTTAATATATTGTCATTTCTCATGATTTACACACATTATTACAATAAATTTGATGCTATTACTATTGCAAGTCAATTACAGTATATCAGTAACGACTTGACTATGTCATTGATTACCATTTCTTTTATTACATTCTTTTTCTCTTCACCTTTTCTTTTCATTCCTCCCTCCCCCGAAAAAAACCAATGTGTTAACAAAATCAGACAGCATAGTTAAAAACCGTATTATTATTTTCATTAGAACTATTTCTCGATCTTTTTTGCGTTTACTACGCCTCTGTTTGTAATTATTCGAGACTTGGATAGATAGTATCCATTTATTCTCAAGGACAAGCACAAATGTCCTGTCGGAAGAGCGCAGTTTGAGATGGTGTTATATAGAAGTTTGTCTGCAATGGCAAAGTTAGACTTTTAATTCAGTTAAAGCAAGAACAACAAAATATCGACTGACATTATCAACTTACGCGAATAATCTGTCGAATAAAACCGAATGTCCAGCAGCAGACCTATTTGCGAGCAAGAACATTCTTTAAATCGTACACACCTTTCGAGAATTGATAGTAAAAATCAACAAAGCGTATTATTAATATTGATGTAAAGCGTATAATTAACGTTGATGTGACCAATTCAGTCTAGAGCACACTCCCTCCGATAAATTCAGTAAAGGTTATAACAATGTATTGTATGTTCCAATGCCTGTTTCTCTTATTTCGATATCGGCGTTCTCTTCAAAGACGTTTTTTAAGCCAAGCGTTTGCGGAAAGAAATAGGCAGGAGAGCTGTGGCACATTGTATTCCTTACTATTTTTGCTGGCCCTGTTTAAGAAGTCTAAAACAAAACCAATTTAGTTAGTTTGATAGTTAGTTAACTCCATTACCTAAAAGTTCCTCGCGATAGTTATGTAAGCGATTTTTGAGGAATTAATTTCTGGAAGTTTAGATCGATAGGGCACTATTCATAATAATATAACAAGTACATACTAATATAAAGAAATTTTAGAATTAAGTTCAGCAACAAGCTCAACAAGCTTACACCAAGTACAACTGATACACGTATTTTCAAGACCGAACCGCTAGCCAGCCAGCACCCCCAGCACCCCCTTCGCGTCGACCCTGTTTGTAGAACTGTTAGTGAATGCTACAGTTGAAGAAAATCACAGAAATAACGGCGACTTACTTTGCAAAATCCACGGGTTAAGACGTTTTTATTGTATTGGGACAATTGAGAAGTAATTTTATAACTTGAAGAATAATTTTGTTCGTTAATCTGTTTATGGGCTCATTCAAAGCTTCATCAGAGCATTTTGTCTCGGGAATCGCCTCCCTAACTTCTTTTTTAACTAACGCTTGAGATCCATCCTTGCCATAACTGGGGTTTAACTCCTTGTATCGTTTATTGTTATATACAGATTCCCCCAAATTAAAATAACTGAAAATGAGGCCTCGAGATGCTTCTTCGTTTTTAAATCAATCCTTTCAGAGAGTTGCAAAAAGTTACTTGCACTTTCACTTGTTTCTTTCAAGCTCCTATCATTATCGGAAATATCAGTTAACAACTCTTCGATAAGTTTTTTCGACACCTTCCCACCAGTTTTTCTCGCTTTCTTATTAGAGGATTTTTTGGTAGATGCTGGCGATTCCCTAGTACGTTTTTTTCTGTGCATCACTCGAAGTTATAAATTTAACTGCGCATTAAATGAACATTTAAAAATTACATTTATTTGCTTTTGCATAATATAGCAATAGTTGTTACTTTATTGATTATACTGTATAATCGTGTAATATTAATATAGAGATTAAAATCAAGATTAAAATTAGCTAATGATATTTGTGAATTTCACATAACAAAATTAATTACATATAATAATTCAATAAACGGGATAATTCAGATTCCTCTTGACGAAACAACTTTTTTTTATCAGTTATAATTGACTTCCCAAAGTCAATAAAAAATATATTGCCTTCGTCATTAACTAAGATATTTTCTTTTCGAATATCGTTGTGAAGAATGTTGTTACTATGAATTATTTTTAATGCCCTGAGAGCCTGATTCTTTTGCCATTTCTCTATTTTATGGAAACTCAACATAGTACCAACAATTGTCATACCCATAACATAGTCCATTCCACCCCCATAATAACCATAGCATACCAATTTTGGGATATACTTTCCCTGAATTTTATAAAGAAGTTGGTATATTTTGATTTCACTTTGCATATTAGAAAAAAATCGTCTATTCTTATATAGATCTAAAGCCTTCAAAGCTAACGTTTGCCCATAGAATTTACATTGGTAAGTTCCTCCGCTCTGCCCATAGCCTAATGAACACTCAAACTTAAATTCCGAACAATCAAAAACCTCTTCCGTTGGATCCTGATTTTCATTTGATCCCTGATCACCAGACGTACTTCTCAAGTTATGATGAGGATTACTCAAACTTCTGGAAATCTGGGAAATCTGTCCACTTCCAGAATTCTGTTGACTTTGCTGTAAAGCTGAAGTTTGTCTCCTAATACTATTAGTTATGTTATGATGGGGAGATGTGGGATCTTCCTCTGCTAACCGAACCAAATATGCGTATGATTTAAGCACAGGTGGGTTGTTTGAATCACGTGCAAGAGAATGAGAAATGTGAAGCTCCGTATTGTTATTTTTTGATCGATACAGGAACCAGTGATTATCATAGCTTGAAAGAATCCCATATTGAAGTTGTAATGATGACATATAATTGTAAATTTGCCCAATTATATTATATAAATGACCCGCTACAAGCTCTCGCCTTCCAAATCTCTCTAAATCAGAATCAGTTACTTCCAGTAAATCCTGTAAAAGGATGTCTCTCTTGATTTCGATTGCCAAGATTTGCTTCAAGAAAGTATCACTAATTTTAAGACGGCAAGTGTAATCTGGTGCGAAAGGGCCAATATTAGAACCAGGAGGGAAGTCGGAATCCTTCTGCTTCGCAAACTTGTATTTTTTCATAACTTTATTCAATACACCAAATATATTGACTTCCAGAGCAGTGTAAACGTTGGTTTCAACGGTTACTTCAACATCACTAAAAAATTGCGGTCTCTCAAATCTCTCGATTTCATCGAAGTTGTACTGATCTACTTCGGTTAAAAATCCTTCCCAACGTGTTATTCTTGTAGGCAAAACGCCGCCTATTTTTGTTGAGCTAATCGATGTACTAGTATCTGGAGGATAATAGAGAGGTGGCGGAATACACGATAAAATTTCATTAATAGAAAGGAGCCCTATAGAGCGACAAATGGGTATATTCGTAGAAAAGCACGAGATTAAGTAAGTATTATATAACAGACAAGCAAATCGTAGAAACGAGTAATGTTTACTTTGGCTATTCAACGAATTGACTAACGTTTCGATCCTTCTTGCTGGTCCATCAGGAAATCTGTAAGGTTCGGAACGAAGTATTTCTCTAGTTAATTGGAGGAAGTCTAAACCGGCGACCCTCTCATCACGAATTTTTTTATAATCAGTGTTGTTAAGGTTCAAATTTTTTGTTCGTAAATAACCGATAAGTTGTTTCGTATTAAATCTTTCAACGTCTTCTACCGAGGGTTCAGTCGTAGACATTTTCGATTTGAAAAAATAAATATAGTAGGACAAAGCAGTCAACAGTCGTACGGTTTTAAAATCAGTCAGACGATCAATAATAAGTCACGGAAAGGAAAATGCTAGAGAAGCAAACGGAATGTATGATGCTATCAAAGAGGGAGGAATACGCGGATCCTAGGCCATTTAATGCGAGTCCAGCACCATGTTATTTCTTAGCTAATTTGTTTCTATCACTAAGTATTCTTTTAGATTTTCGAAATAAATTATACCACGAAATTTTTGTCTATCTATATCACGAGTATCTACAGACTGTGTAAAAAATTATTCCCCATAAGAGAACTTCACCGAGATGAAATGATTTCGAATCCATAGAAAGAATCCTTGAGATTAGCAATAAGATGAAAAAAATAAAGCAAAGTGAGGGCTTCCGATTCACACTTGCCGCTATAATTTATTTTAATAATATTCCACACCGCCTTCGTCAGTTCGATACTGCGCCAAACATCAAGAATTCGGATGCTTATGCACGTGCATTGTTATTGTATATTTTTATACCGATATATTGTTGTGTGACATCCAATCAAAATGAGTATTATTAGTATACCCGAATTTCAGATTTTCAATGTCACCCAATAAATTAAAATTTGATCCATGAATCGTTACGTTCTACACGTAATTCAATGAGTTTCGCTAGAACTATTAGTTGATAAGGTACGCGATTTTGCTTTTGAGCAAACAATAGTACTTCTTCCAAAGAAATTGTACTTGAGCAATAGATGGTATAAGTTTTTGAGGCGAACGACACCTTTTTGGCAAACTATTGTTGGTTCACATTGATTAATGGCTTGAGATCTGAGTTACTTTTTCCGATTTCTTCTTATTTCGTTACGCACATCTATACTTTGCATGTAGGAATTCATCTTATTAACTACGTTTTCTGCACCAGAGCCAGCACTATTTGATTTCCTTGATACCACGCTCTATCTTGTGACTCTACCCCTTAAGTTCGCTGATCCGTTCAAGTTCCGCCTTAGAATTATTGAGCTTGAAGCTTGAAAAATAAAAAAGCGAGACATTCTGATCAATGGTTCGGACACGAGCGGTGCTGACGCTCTTTTACGATAACGGGTTACTATTAAGATTTATTAGTACTACGCGAATCAAGAAAATTCACTAGACAATCGCCAGTAATAACAATCATACGAATAGATTTATTTCTTTTTTAAATGGCTGCCAACTTCCCTTTTAGGACTGGCCAACAAATCATACAAAAAGAACAAACAAACAAACAAAATTTTTTTCCCTTACGAAGGAAGAACGTAGAATTGAGTGCTGCTATAAAAATATAACCGAACACAGAAACATCTATACTATGTACAAAACTAAGACGAGCTTATGATAAAACTGAGTGACAAATAAAAGCATAAAATACAACAAGTAGCAAGGGCGAGTGCTCGAAAAGTTAGTTGATGCATCACATCAATGCATCCTATTTATACAATATCCTCTCGCCTCTTTTTCAGTTTAAACACAAGTTAACTCGACAGGCTATGGTTTAATAAAAACATATCTAAATCCTGCCATCCTCCTCCTACTCTCACCATCACCTTACTCCCGCCGTTTGACGAATTTATCAATTTACACATTTGCACTTTTCTGGTCTGTCCAATTCTCTCGCTTCCAAAGTAATACCTGCCTGTTCCACCAGACACCCTCTCGACTTTGACTGATATTGGGGATCCATTGACTACTTTTCCTACCTCAACGTCCAATGGATCTGATTTGACAGGAACGTAGGGTGGAACATCACGATGCATTGAGCTAATTGTATCTGATAATGGACTCCCAGAACGATCATCATCGTCATCGTCGATTCCAAATTGATCGTCGCTAGCAATCGACGAGGGTGTCTCTGATCTCCTTTTGCTCATATGAGGAGTAGGAGATATTGACAATCGTGTGAAAGCTGATGCCATCCCTGGGGAAGTGGTAACTGGTGTTGTTCTGCGAGGACGCATACTCATGCTGGTTACTGGACGAGGTATACCTGTTACCGGTCTTTCGGCAGGCGATATTGGGGGACACGTGGACATTGGACGAGCGGTCATCGGACGAATAGGTGACTCGGGGCGACTAGTTGATTTTGAGCGCAATTTGTTTGAACTACGATCGTATCCAAGCTGAGGGGATGACGATCTGTGAAATTGACCAGGGGAGTATGGAGAATACTTGTCAGGTGTATACTGTCTATCGTATCTGTCCACATATTTGTCCGGTGGATAGTTATATGGCCAATTATTAGATCGATCAGTTGACTGTGGCGAGTCCGCTCGTCGCATCCCATTGGGCGGGTACAACGATTTCCCCCCATACGGACTTCCTGTTCGTGGTGATGGAGTTTTAGATCTCACTGAAGGTGATCTTGCATTGCTACCCGATGGTGATAATGATCTATCTCGATTGGATCGATACGGTGATACGGTCCGGGGTATCTTTGGAGGTGAACCTGACTCTGGAGAAAACATTCCTTTAATTGGACGTATCGATGGTGATATTGGGGGAGATGAAGCAAGAGATGAAGGTATAGAAGAAGGAGGAGAGTTACTACCAATCAAGGCAGTATCCATTATCGTCTCCAATTGAGGCATGTCCTGCTGCACATCACGTACTCCCTCGAGTATGCTACCCCAACGTGATTTCAAGGTATTGTATTTCTGAATTATCTCCGAGTCTCTTCGTGTGCGATTGTTGATTTCGCTGCCTAGCATGGTTAGCATTTTGTTTACGGCTGGCACATAGTACTTGCGCTTGGCATCGAACTGTTTGTATAGTCTTTGGTAGTTCTTAGTATTTATTGGTATTTGAGGCTGAATTGGATTTTGAGAATATGCAGATGAGCCATTATTGTTTCTCTGACTGTATCTAGAGTTATTGTTGGACATTCCTCGTCCACCTCTACTTGACAGCGAATCAGACATGTTAATTGCTCTGCTGAAAAAGTCCTTACATTGCCTGACCGCTCTATCTAAACTGTCCATCATTTGAGTAGCTTGTCCTGTCACTTGTTTGAATAATCCTACCCATCGGTCATCCTTTAACTCATCTCTTAATGACTCAATCTCCTGCTTCAATACATCCCATCTACTGGTCAATAAATTGTGCTTTTTAGATAAACTCCCACTCGAATCAGATGGAGCATTTGGAGCGCTAAGTCGCGATCTTAGATAGTCGATACGTGCAGAAAGTGGCTCCATACGTGAGTCTAGCTGCATTAGAGCAATGTCCGATCTAGAGCTGAATTCATTATTTGACGGAGTTGCCGGAGTCATTGGTCTACTGGAAGATGATGGAGATGAAGAAAGTCGTGGGAATGGAAGGTCGTCTGATGAAGTGAATCCGGAGTGACGCTGTTCTTGATACTCAAAGATGTTAGTGTTGAGTTCTTCTATAGATGCAAGTATTTGATCCATAGTTTCTAAAAGTTCTCTTCTATGTTTAGATTCCGTCATCTCCTTCTTTATCTTTGTGAACGATTGCTTGGTCTCCAACCATTCATTCTGTATTCTTCCGATAGTCGACAGAATGTTGCTGGAGTCATACTTATTTGCATAATCTTTTTTACTATTACTATCGGTCTCGCAGTCTTCGCCCTCGTCCTTTATGCTTTCATCTAATTTTTGCCTATCTAGTATGGGAACGGATAAATCTTTAAGTAATGCTATATTTTGTGTGAATCTTTGTATAAGAACGTCCACTTCACTGATACTCCTCACTGGGACTCCATCCCTTACAGTTTCTTCTAATGTTAGTATTACTAGTTGAGCACATTCTAACCAGTTATCGAATTCTTTTATTGCTTCTGAGAAAGTATCTAGCAGGTTGGAGAGCGAAAGGTCAGGAGTGGATATTGCATGGTATATGTTTGCATTTGGCGTCGATAGCGAGTGAAGGGTCTGTACTTGGTGGGCAAGAGTGTTTGGGCCAGAATACTGCTCAGCAGACGTGCGCTGTGAGGAGTGATGTGAAAGCGGTTCTGGCATATGGGACATTGAATGGAGCGTGCTCACGAAAAAGTTGGGGAATAAATTGTTCTTGATGGGAAGGGTCTGAAAGTGTTATCGTCGACTATTGGACAATATTGATGCAGATATTGATGACGTCTATCTGTATTTTTGTAACGGCAGAAAACGCAACATCAGATTGGTAGAAGTTTCTTATGTCGTGTTACATGTCACGATCAGAGTTTCCGTAATGAAAAATGAAGCACTATCCAATCAATGGATTATCAAAAATAGACAAATTGACAGTTAATATTGCCTAGACTGTTGTGGTAACTGTGGTCGAGCCATGAAAACCAGAATAAATTGGTTTGTGATTACGAAAAGATGGGCCAGTCAAAACTTTATCAGTAATGGAACTAATGGCTCAACGTTATGTTGGTCGACTAGAACAGCAGAATGAAGACTTAAAACAACAACTAATTAGTGCTAATACTAAGGAGGAACTATAGAAGCTTGTATGAGGAATATTAAATAATGACGTAAACATTTCTGCATAGTAATAGTGTCACAAGGATTTCGGGATGCCATTTTCACATGATACCGCAGTTGTACAATAGATAGTGTTCAAGAATACTTTATTAACACATTCTTTCTAAATAAACCGAGATTCGTTCCCTGATAATGTTGTGATCCACTAATCCCTAATCGATTAGGAATATCCGCCTCTTGTCTTTACGATTGTTATTCGCTTAAGTGGGATGCATTTTAGATAAATACAGATAAACCTCAACACAAAGTGAAGCCTAGCTTAAAGGTCACTAACTGTCGCTATATTGAACTAAAGTAGGAGAACCCACAGCTCCATCCGAAACTAGCTAAATCTCAAAAATAAAAGAACAACAAAATAATCGATTAAATGCTCAAATGAAAGTTAAATTACGTCCCCGGCGAAAAGAATAGCGGTGGAGATCCTTGGGGGTTTGCTGTCACCATTCGAACCATTGTTTATATTACCAAACTAGACAATGAAACTAAAAAAAGAAATGTAAACAGAGAAGTTTAATATTGTTAATATTGTTAAACTTATTTTTACAATTTAAAATGGCACAAAGCTCCCTTAAGTGCAACGAAATGCTGTTAAGTCGCTATGCCAACAAAATGTCCACAATCCGAAGATATGCTAGTTTATTGTGCAAACGGGCAAACTCTCTATAAATCACCCTAATCTGGACCGTCATTTGTACCGGAGAATCACATTTACTCAGATATGAATGAAATCGCCAACTTCCTTGATGGTGACATCACTGACGAAAAAAATGCCCACATGCGTGAAGACGTGGCTTACTCACCGACCGACCACGATCCAATGTCTGATGCGACCGTTAGCAAGATTGAGGAACCAGTTGTGATTACTACCGAAAAAGTGGTTGTTGAAGCGTCTGAAACAATAGTTGAAGTAGAATCATTAACTGACCCGAAGGAATTTTCTGTATTTTCAAAAATCAAATCGGTTTTTGCTGGCATCAGCGAAGACATAAGGGAGATTTCTGAGGAACATAATCGGCGCTCGGGTCGGCGCGATGAGGTCGAGTATTCGAAGACTAATCCGCCATATTCGATAAATAACGGAGGGAAGGAACTGCCCCTTAATCATCATACGTCGCCAATGGATGCATATCACCATAATGGCAAATTTGAATATGATGCACATAACCTCTTTGGTCATATGGAAGCACAGACAACATATAGATCATTACGTAAAATCCGTCCAAACAAACGTCCTTTCATTCTCTCTAGGTCCACTTTTC